TAGCAACTGAAACAGACATCTGGTTTAAGAAAGTTCGAGCTTTATAGAGCGTTACTGTTAATATACATGACTATCCAATCATTGCTACCCTTCATAATATTACATTCAGACATTACTGATATATTTATTGTCACTATGGATTTGTTCTTTATATCTGACTACTTATTAACCTGTCAAATCACAATAAAACATCAACTCGGCCGTATAAGGGCCACCATTGCTAGTATCACGTCCATAACTTGAGGTTGTACCACACATTCCCTTTTCCAAGGCCTCTGGTGAATGGGTTAATTACATCTTACCCATGCTTGTAGCATAACTGGTTTTCCTGGCGGCTTTTCTTTTTTCCCCCCATTGTTAAATTTCAAATAATAATAAAAACTGTGAATAAAACTAAACATAGATTTCCATTCAACCCAGTAAGCTTTGTTTAGGGATGAAGGCACTTTTCAGAAGGCAAGACAATCTCCAATGTGTTACCTTTACACACACACAAAAGCAAAGCCAAAATTAACCTCACCCTGCTTCCAGGTGCCGGTGCAGACAGATTTTCATGAATTCCTAACTAGCAAATAATTGTGCTCTTCTCAGTGGATAACTATTAAGCAACCACTCCCAGCCATTTATCATTTGCTTTTGATTTATACCCATGAAAATAGACAAACAGTCCTGCTCCTTCTGAATATACTGCCTTTGGAAACAGTAACCAGGATGCAGCTGTTGATGAAAAAGGTATTTGTCTACCACAGTCCACATTTATCTCGTTCATAGAAGCCTCTCCCCGCCCCCAACACCACTCTCTTTGGTTTCATTTTGGTTGCACTGCCAGCTTGTTAAGTTCTCATTTTAAGGTTCCTTACCTACCAGAGTAAGGTTAAAGAGTATAGTTAAAGCCATGGTTTTCCCACTAGTGATGTATGGAAGTGAGAGCTGGACCATAAGGCTGATTGCCGAAGAATTGATGCTTTTGAATTATGGTGTTGGAGGAGACTCTTGAGAGTCCCATGGACTGCAAGAAGAGCAAACCTATCCATTCTGAAGGAAATCAGCCCTGAGTGCTCACTGGAAGGACAGCTGAGGCTTCAATACTTTGGCCACCTCATGAGAAGAGAAGACTCCCTGGAAAAGACCCTGATGTTGGGAAAGATGGAGGCAAAAGGAGAAGGGGACGACAGAGGACGAGATGGTTGGACAGTGTTCTCGAAGCTACAAACATGAGTTTGACCAAACTGTGGGAGGCAGTGGAAGACAGGAGTGCATGGCGTGCTCTGGTCCATGGGGTCACGAAGAGTCGGACACGACTAAACAACAACAACCTACCAGAGTAGTGTGTGAGAATCTGGAAGCATAGGAGCCAACTACTAGGGGTCGAGGGGCCCCAAAGATGATGGGCATTGCCATTCAAAAGGTGTGCGTGCCACGTCATGTGGGGCAGAGCTTACCTGCCCCCCCATTTTTTATTCAAGTTGGCACCCCTGTTTGGAAGAGAGCAAGTGGGAGTTTACTATAGATCCCCAAGCCAAACGGAGGACATACATGATGCCTTCCTGGAACAGATGGCCAAGCATGCAAAAAGAAGGGAGATAGTAGTAATGGGGGACCTCAATTACCCGGATATTTGTTGGATGTCAAACTCAACCAAGTGCATAAGGTCAAACAGATTCCTCACTGGCCTTGCAGACAACTTCATTGTCCAGAAAGTGGGAGAAGCAACAAGAGGAACAGCCATTTTAGATCTGGTCCTAACCAATGTTGATGACCTGGTTAGTGGGGTAGAAGTGGAAGGATCATTAGGCGCGAGTGATCATGCTCTTCTGAAGTTTACTATACAGCGGAAAGGAGCAGCCAAGCATACTAGGACTCAATTTCTTGACTTTAAGAAAGCCGACTTCATAAAACTTAGGTAAGTGCTGGGTGAGATCCCATGGACAGTAATACTAAAAGGAAAGGGAGTTCATGATGGCTGGGAGTTTGTTAAGAGGGAGATAGTAAAAGCACAACGTCAGGCAATACCAATGAGACGGAAACATGGAAGGTGCCTAAAGAAGTCTTGGTTGACCACAAACTTGACATGAGCCAACAGTGTGACGCGGCAGCTAAAAAAGCCAATGCAATTCTGGGCTGCATCAATAGGAGTATAGCATCTAGATCAAGGGAAGTAATAGTGCCACTGTATTCTGCTCTGGTCAGACCTCACCTGGAGTACTGTGTCCAGCTCTGGGCACCACAGTTTAAGAAGGACACTGACAAACTGGAACGTGTCCAAAGGAGGGCAACCAAAATGGTCAAAGGCCTGGAAACGATGCCTTATGAGGAACGGCTAAGGGAGCTGGGCATGTTTAGCCTGGAGAAGAGGAGGTTAAGGGGTGATATGATAGCCATGTTCAAATATATAAAAGGATGTCACGTAGAGGAGGGAGAAAGGTTGTTTTCTGTTGCTCCAGAGAAGCGGACACGGAGCAATGGATCCAAACTACAAGAAAGAAGATTCCACCTAAACATTAGGAAGAACTTCCTGACAGTAAGAGCTGTTTGACAGTGGAATTTGCTGCCAAGGAGTGTGGTGGAGTCTCCTTCTTTGGAGGTCTTTAAGCAGAGGCTTGACAACCATATGTCAGGAGTGCTCTGATGGTGTTTCCTGCTTGGCAGGGGGTTGGACTCGATGGCCCTTGTGGTCTCTTCCAACTCTATGATTCTATGATTCTATGATTCTAAGTCCACAGCAGAGGGATTATTTTTGCCTTTTCAGTCAAAGAAATTTGATTAGAAAGGTTTTCTGACAGGCTTACAAATATACATGGCTGTATTCAGTGGAGGCTCTGCACCAGCAGAAAATACTTTGACTACGTCAAGGCAAGCCACCCAATTTTCGCCGTGTGCTCCTACCTGCAGCTGATCTCCATGCCATTCCTGAACCAGAGTTCTACTGCAACTCAAGGAGTAATATCACAAGATAGCCTTAATATAGCCTGGCATTTTTACTACACATTTCATTACACTTCTGTAACTGATGGGTGGTGAAAAAATTCTCATGGCAGATTGGTACAGATGGCCAGTCTAACCTAGACTGACAGAACTACAGCCCAGGTTATTTTGTCCAGGGGCAGTCCAAAATATTTTGCTGCCTGAGGCAGAACAGCAAATTCCTTCCCGCCTTAAAACTTGCAGTCCTGGGGCTTATCACTCAAGTCTTCTATAGCAATTCTGATACCCGAGGCAGAAAACTCCACAAGCGACTGTCTCCCCACCTGCTTGACAGTAAAAATACAATAATAATAAAATAAGTAACAAAAGGTGATCTCCAATGTTAGTCATTCTCAGAGTAGACCCGTCAAAAGCAATAGCCTTCTTATAACAATTCATTTCAATGGGCTTACTCTAGAGTCTTAGTGGACTGTCACCCTAACAATTTAAATAAAAAATAAATTAACTAACTAACAAGGTTCTTGGACAAGAAAGGGATTTTGCACTAGCCGGTGGTGGTGGTTGTTGTTTACCTTTCCTTTCTATTTTCTATAAATCATCTACACACTCCCCTTTCATTGTGGGTCTTGGCCACTTCCAGGCATTATGAAATAATAAACCTCTCTTGAACTTTCATATGTTTTTATAACTTGTGGAACGAATGTATGACACAAAAAATGTTCTTGGGCAGTTAACTGGTGGGCCTTTGAACTCCTGCCTTGCTAATGGTCAGTTCACATTTGCTCAAGGATTTATTTCCATCCTGCCAGTTCACCTTAAGCAAAGGGGGAATTCCAAGTACTGTTTGTTTAGAAAGCCATATCTTTGCAGAGATCAGTATGCACCAAAAGCAAAACCTGCAGATAGGAAACAGAGACTTAAGCAATTTTCAGTGGAAAGGAGAAAGGTAGGCAGAGCACTCCCGTCATCAATGTGAGCTGCAAAAGCTGCACCCATTGTAAAATGGCCAGATCTTCAGCATTGCCAGACACAAAGAGCTGTCTCAAAATATCAGGTGGAGGAAGGGGCTAAGACCTGGTCCAACTTTAGTTGCTTGCAAGAATTAGTAGCTTTGGATCGGAGTGTGATTCCCCTCCCCTATCATAAGATGCAGGAGCAAAACAATGTCAACATGGAAGCATACCTGCCTTCACATTGTCTGTGTGCAGCAAAGTCTGTTTTTGCTTAGGAAAGGGTGTGCCTTAATGAATTGGGACAAGCTGATTGAAATGAGCCTCTGGAGAGAGGATGCAACGCAATTCATGCATTTGCCAGTGGTGCAAATGGTATCCCATCCAGTCCAGGGCCCAAACTTCGCCTGCCAGCTGTTTTGGGACTACAATTCCCATCATCCCTGACCACTGGTCCTCCTAGCTAGGGATGATGGGAGTTGTAGTCCCAAGTTTGGCCATCACCGCCCTAAGTGATAAGATCAATGCTTTTTTTCCCTGGGGGTACACAGGGGTGCTCTAGTGTGCTCTGGCCCATGGGGTCACGAAGAGTCGGACACGACTAAATGACTAAATGACTAAACAACAACACAGGGGTATACATACCCCTAAACATTTTGTGAATTTTTGTACTGCTGTCCATTTACTGTATTTATTTTCCCCGATTTGAACAATAAAATGTGGTTTTCTTGACTCAAAAATGAGAGTACTCCAAAACAATATTTTTTTTAGAAAAAAAGCACTGAATAAGATAATTGAGGAAGTAGTCAATATATTTGTAGGTCTTTCTGTGGCCAATCGTTTATTGTCTTCTTATTTAAATTTTAAAGTTAGCTCCCGTGTTTGGTTATAGGAGGCTAAGCTTTTTATCTTTCCTTATCTGAGAAAAGCATTTGTGCCTGGAGTCAAGTAAGTGCAGGGAAACAACCAGTGCTCCCCTCTTCACCATGAAGTTGTTACAGTGAGTGCCACACTTTTTATCAGCCCCCAAAAAGTGGTGCTGGTACTGCGTACCCTTGAGGGCCCCCCCCCAAGCCCCGGAAACAACCAACGGTGGCTGGTGCTGGTTAGGCCTGGTAGGGCGGAAAGCAGGGAGGCTGACAGTAGGGGGAGGTAGAGCCAATGACAGGCTGAACAAACTATTTCTGCTTTTGTCCCTATCCTCCTCCTTGCCGGGTTTTACAAAAACAACTCTGAACTTCAGAAGGAGGCAGCTAACAGCAAGGATTACCCCTCCCCCCTTGGACAGGTTCTAAGGATGAAGGCAGGCAGGTGAGCTTGTAGGAATTGAATTAAGTTGGTGGGGCAATGTCCCACTGGGAACAATCCTCAGCTCTGGGACTGTCTTCCCCTTCTCTTCTTCTCTAGCAATTCCTAAGGATTAGATCAGACAGATGCTTTTCTGTTCCACATGAAATGGCACTGCAGGTACAGGGGTACCTCAGGTTAATTACTTAATTCGTTCTGGAGGTCTGTTCTTAACCTGAAACTGTTCTTAACCTGAAGCACCACTTTAGCTAATGGGGCCTCCTGCTGCTGCCGCGCTGCTGGAGCACGATTTCTGTTCTCATCCTGAAGCAAAGTTCTTAACCCGAGGTACTATTTCTGGGTTAGCGGAGTCTGTAACCTGAAGCGTATGTAACCCGAGGTACGACTGTATTTGTTAGCAATCTTGTTTATTTGCATCTCTTTCTATTCAACCATTTATAGCTGTTTCTTAGAGATTTAAATAGATGACTTGGTGTCACTTTTGTCTTCAATGGCCACAATAAAACTCATAGCATTGAGATAGACTTGAATATTTTTGTGAGCTTATATAATGCTATTATTATTTTTATTAATCATCTTCTGTGCAATTGTCTCAAGGGAATGTACATCAAAAACATAAAAATATCAGTTTAAAACACATACAAACCCAAGACACTTTTAAAAATGTATTCAGTCATTTCCAAAAAGTACAGATAGTGGATGCCCATTGTATTGCAACAAGAATGCTATTCCACAGAGCAGAGCCAGCCACGCTAAGAACAACAACAACCCCGGTCTGTGTTGCTATGGAGTGGCATTCTGAGATTTTTGAAACTTGGAACTTTTCTACAGACTGCAGTGATCTACTGGGTATATAATGGGCAAGGCAGTCTCTCACGTAAGCTGGTCCTGAGCTGTATAGGGCCTGTGTCTTTTTTTTTTTTTAAATGATATTTATTAAAGTTTCAATAAAAGATTAAACATAAAACATAAAAAAGAAATACACAATTCGAAAATACACAATACATAATCCAAAAGAAAAAAAAGGAACAAAAAACAAAAGACAAAAAAGAAAAAAGAACAATTAAAAACAATATCACCTTTTCATCTCCATTTTTAAATTAACTTATTTTCTGGACCTCCTCGTACCTCCCTCTTTTGTATTCCAGTTCAAATTGTTTGTCCAGCAATTTCTTTCCCTCTTTTTTAATCCCAATCTTTACTCTTAGTATAATATAACATTAAAATTTTACCTTTTAAAAACCAAATTTCCATTTCCTTAAACTTTTTTAATCCTAATCCTTAATCTTAATCTATCCATAACTTTAAATCCTGTACAGCTGGAAGCCACTTATTTTCAATCCAACATCACTCTAACATTCTTTAATTTTGCAATGTTTCTGCAAATAGTCTTTGAATTTCTTCCAATCTTCCTCCACCGACTCTTCTTCCTGGTCACGGATTCTACCAGTCATTTCTGCCAGTTCCATATAGTCCATCAGTTTCATCTGCCATTCCTCCAGTGTGGGAAGCTCTTGTGTCTTCCAATACTTTGCAATGAGTATTCTTGCTGCTGTTGTTGCATACATAAAGAAAGTTCTATCCTTTTTTATCACCATTTGGCCGACTATGCCCAGGAGAAAGGCCTCTGGTTTCTTGGGGAAGGTATATTTGAATACCTTTTTTAATTCATTATATATCATTTCCCAGAAAGCCTTAATCTTTGGGCATGTCCACCAAAGGTGGAAAAATGTACCTTCAGTTTCTTTACATTTCCAACATTTATTATCGGGTATAGGGCCTGTGTCTTAGTACTAACAACCTGAACTTAGCCCAGTAATGTTGCACAGAAATAGAAACAGATCATCAGTGCAATTATATTTATTAAAAGTTCAGCATTGGTTGACCCCTGAATCATACCTATGTGGAATTTTTTCTGCATATAGATCTGGCTAAACCTGTATAGCACCCTTTTTTGGATTGCAACCTATAGGATTATGCACCCACCCAAACACACATACTTATGCTAAACCAGCAAGGGAGAACCACAGGCAAGTATTATGGACGTGCTCCTCTGAATATGATTCCCAGGGGATAGAGCATTTGGTTTAACTGGACCACAGAACTTGGATTTAAGACGGTTTAGGGGTAATTCCCATACCTATTTTAAGACGGTGGTTGTCTGATGAAATCAACATTAAGCAGAGTTTCCCAGGAGATTTTGGCATGGTGAACAAGGCTTGTGGTTGAGCAAATCACTTGCCACATCCTTCAGAAGGCAGCTGTGAAGATGTGTCAGAGCAGCCCAAACACCGGCTCACTGCACCCAATATTGATCATTTAAAAAACAAAGCAAATGGTGTTATTCTCTCCAGAAGTAACCTGCAACATGGATTTTTTTAAAGTATCAGAATCAGCATGGGTTGCACCAGAGAGGTGGGATGCTCCCCAAACAAGGAGCTTCCCCCCATAGTTGGACTCCTGCCATTAATATATAGTGTTCTTTTTCTTTCAGAGCTCTTAACATGTGGGACACAACTCAACCACCTAGAAATATACTTTGCGCCTTTTGTGCAAACCCACTCCTCCAATTTGTTGGTGCCACCAGTGTGAATCACCTGGAGTTTTCTTGGCAGGGATACTGGAGTGGCTTGCCAGTTCCTGCTCCAGGTGGATCACGTGTAGTCAAAACTCTCCACTATGACCTGTCCGTCTTGAGTGGCCCTGCATGGCGTAGCTCATAGCTTCTCTGAGTTATAGCTCAAGCCCCTTCACCACGACAAGGCAGTGATCCATGAAGGAATACTTTGGCCACCTCATGAGAAGAGAAGACTCCCTGGAAAAGACCCTGATGTTGAGAAAGATGGAGGGCACAAGGAGAAGGGGACGACAGAGGACGAGATGGTGGGACAGTGTTCCACTTGCAATTCTTTGATTCTGTTCACGCCGAAGGAAGCGATTAGGATAGTCAGGCAGCAGCGATGACATGATCTGGCTGGCAGATGCACACAGGCCACATCACCTCCACCTCTCACCACTTTGGGTACAAATTTCAGAATTGCGGCTGGTATCTTGAGGATACCTTTGAGAGAGATGACTAGAACTGCTTTGGGTTTATCGTGAAAATATCATTTATTAATGTTCTGCAGATCACAGTGGAGAAGTGTTATTTATTTCATTTTATAATTTAAAGTGAAAATATTTTAATAGTATCTTAGTTTCTGATAGATATCGAATGTCCAATTAAAAATAAAGCTAGTAAGAGTTCCCGAATACAGTGGTACCTCGGGTTACAAACACTTTGCGTTACAGACTCTGCTAACCCGGAAGTAGTACCTTGGGTTAAGAACTTTACCTCAGGATGAGAACCGAAATTGTGCGGTGGTGGCGCAGTGGCAGTGGGAGGTCCCATTAGCTAAAGTGGTACCTCAGGTTAAGAACAGTTTCAGGTTAAGAACGGACCTCCGGAACAAATTAAGTTCGTAACCAGAGGTACCACTGTGGTGGGGGTGGGGAGGAATCAGTAATAAACATTTTATGTTCTGTAAAAATTAGGGTAATTGTGGCCAAAAATTGAGGGAGTGCTTGAAAGGGTACCAGTTGCAGGTTGAGTTTTTTAAAAAAATAATCCGGAAATTATTAATATTATTATTAATAATAACAACCCAGAGGAATTTTTAAAATGTAGGAACTATTTCTGCATTAAAGCTAAGATTTTATTGTGAAAAAGCACAGTGATTTTTTAAAAATGTTGTTTAAGAACTCTGAAAAAGCTTACTGCTGCTTTTGGCTTTTTCCTACCAGACCTTCACATTGCATGCACTGCATTAAGAGATTTTATTTGCCTCAGTATTATATGATGACCTCATACTGTAATCAGTAATCTTTTCCCAAAATCTAGCAGTGTTCTTCTGCATTGTAACTTCCCATTTGGACTATTTTTAATTAAAAGAAATGGATTTACGGTCCATTTAATCCAAATAGTTCAGGGCAGGCAACCATTTGCTAACTATTCTACCATATCCCAAGTTTGCACCATTTCTAGCACTCACTCGCATGCCACACAATTTTAGACGGGAGTGTATCTGATAGCCGGTTTGTTTTATATATAAAACCCTTGCTCTGACATCAAGACAGATGTTGTTGTGGCTGCTCCAAGGCTGCAGTTTTAAAGAAATATTCCAAATATTTTAGACCTACTGTCAAGGTAGGAAAGCTACAAAGAACCAAAACGGATAAACTTGGTTGAAATCTAAAATCATCTCTGTTCTGTCCGTAGCACAACTGCTGCTTCCAAGATATAAATTTGTTAATTTCCCTGTTATTAGAAAGAATTTGAACACACTCCAGTCCCCCAGAAATGCTGACCGAGAGAACTGGAGGTCGGTGCTTTCGCAATAAAGAACGCTGGTCAATATACAAGTGAAGAAAAATGGAACCAGATGTGAGTAATCGGACCACAGAAATTGCATTTACCCAGAAGTGCTATTTTAAAGCACGCTACATGTTGATCTTCTGTTTTTGTGGTGTAACACATTCTTGGCACCCAAAGAGAGGTTCAGTACGTTAGGCTAGCCTCTTTTTTTTGGAAAAAATAAAGCTAATCTATCAAGATTTGCTGAGGTGGCAGAGATTTCAAGAAATCAAATGTGGAGTGGACCAAGGTTCTCCTGGTGAACTTGAAATCTATCTATATAATTTCCTTTTTTGTCCAGCTGCTGGTATTCATCATGGTTTTTTCTACTAAGGCCCCTTTAACTTTGTCACAAACTCCCCATTTCCAGAAAACAAAGGCAGGTTCAGATGCTCCTCTGTGCAAGTTGTCCTCAACAGTGTGATGTTAGCCAAGGCATTTATCCTTTTGAATGACTGATTCATACAAGATCTCTGAATTCACCACCCTGAGTTACTAAAATGTTAATACCGTGTGCAAGAGATTAAAATCATTTAGGGTTGTTGTTTTATTAACGCTCACCCACCCCCCAAAGCTTTGGCAAACGTGAATACAAAGCATGGATGCAAAGAAGGAAAGAGCTCGTGAAAACTAGAAAGGTATCTTATAGAATTGTGGAGTCCAACCTCCACAGGTCTTCTAGCCAACCCCTTTGTTGGTTCGTCACAGCAGTGGCCCATGTGGTGAGCCACTATCCTGGCACTGGTGTTATTGCAGCTTACCTGGACAGGCCTGCAATGGGGTGATGGCAAGGTAGAGCTGAATGGACGCATCTGAACAGCAAATCCAGAAGGTGCACCCAAGGAGCCATAAACTTGTGCCACCACCCAGTCCCTTTCAGGTAAGCTAAGAGACAGCAGTGTTGGGTGGCTCCACCGCTTTGTCCCACCACACAGGCTGCTACTGCTTCCTACCCTCTGAAATCAGTGCTGTCACTGCAGGAGCAAACATATCCCTCCAGGTCTACTCCAGATACAGCATACACGCAGAAACGGCCAAGGACATGTTTGTGCCTTCTGCTGGTGCCTTGATGGAGCCATCACCTCCAGCTTTGCCACTCTTAGATCTGGCAACTTGACTGAACCATCAGTAGCAGACGCCTTTGCATAAGAATGTAATCTCTCAACAGCTTTCAACGGCATGACCACCAGTGGACTTGTTGGCATTCAACAGCAACATCCCAATGTCCCAAAATCCTTTCTGTAATTTAGTCTTATCCTAAGGAGAGATCTCTCGCTTTTCCTGTTTATAAGGCAAGATCAGAATTGAAGTAAAGTCCAGCACAGCATGCACAAAGCAGTTGAGCCTGGGTGTACACAAACACTTCAACAACTAGTTGTTTGGGTAGAGAAAAGGGAGATGAATCCAGCTCTGCCTTCTGAACAGCTGATCAGACCCATTTTAACTTTCCAAAAAAGGATCCACTGGCTGTTGGCTGAGGGAGGGGAACTGAATAGGCAAGATTCATTTGTGCATATGGTTTCTCATCCACCTAGATAGCGCAAGCTAGATCAGGGGAAAACTGTCTACTGAAAGTCCTCAGGATTCTCATTATGCTTGCGGAATTTAGCAGCAGCCTCAAGGTTCTACCAAGTCTCCATTCTTACTTGCTGTATCAATGCACCTGGAATTAGGCCCCAATGAACTCAATGGCACTTACTTCTACCTAGATAAATATAAGGTTGTACTTTAAAGCATTTATATCGTACCATAGCAAGTAACCTTTGGCTCACCAGATGCTGTGGAACTACAACTCCCATTCCCCCTTGCCACGCTTTCTAGGGCTGATGGAAGTTTTAGTTCCCCACACCCTTTTTACACATTTTCTAAAATTCAGTTTGTTTGTCATTTGCCTATCTTACCACAAAGTATTTCTTTAAAGCAGCTTTGCTCCTTGTTTAAATAAAAACCCTCTTTCCAAAAGAATTAAAGCCACCTCCCAATATATAACCAACATTTTATTTTTATAGTCTATTTTCCGTTACGGCATAAGCCTTTTTTAAAAAAACCAGTGAAATATACAAATCACACGAGACGAAAATATGTACATTAAATGTACAGAACAAAGAAGAGGACATAGTAGATTTACATAATATCTGAAGAACACAAGTGAAATATTTTACATTAAATAGCATTTTAATAGCTAGGATCATTAGACTCCTGTCTGCTCTCACAGACAGGAGTCGCTATAAAGAATACGTGATTCAACATATTTTTTTAGAAAAAGGATTATGGTTTTTGTATAATAAAAACCAAAAGTGACATATTCAGTGAACTAGTGCTTTATTTCATTTTATTTTTAAGTTGACATTGGTTTGCAGACACCAGGAACCAGGGAAGTTAAATATACCCTTGCACAATAAATTAAGAGCAATCATCATTTGGAAAGCTGATAATCCTGATGGCATTAATGAGACAGCTCACAGAATTTTGAAAAAGTAAAGCTTCTAAAATGGTAATGCTAATATGGAAGCCTGGAATTCATTGCAATCTGCTTATATGTATTGGACAGGATGATTTAGGGGAAGAGCAGAGGTCTTTCAAGGAATGAAAAGGCAGCACTGGGGTTGTGGCAAAGGCAAGAGCTAAGACTGCCTTTTTAAAAAAATTAACATGGGCCGTTTGTGTTAAGATGCATTTGTGTCTCTCATTTCCATTATCCGCAATGACAGCGTTGCAGAAAGAGAACGCTTCTAAGCAAGCTTCCCCCAGCCTGGTGCCCTCCAGATTTCTAAGCGGTGTACAAGAGGGATACAGCACACATCTCAAAATCAGTTGCAACTGACTGTAAGATCACTTAAAACACCTGCTGCAATGCGAAAAAGTCTTCACCAAGGGACCAGGAGGTCAACAGGTCTGATCTCAGCTGGGAGGAAACTCCACAGCTGGACGTACAACTCTGAAAGCATGTCTCCTGGTAGACACAATCTCAGCACCTGAGCCACAGGGGACCACTAATAAGCTAGTGATCAAACAGGGATATGCAATATGAGGTGGTCCTTTGGATATCTTGGGCCCAAGTAGTTAAATGGCCTTGAACTCAGCTCAGTTGCATAAGGGTAACCAGTGCAAACTTTTAAGCATTGGCGCTCTGTGTTGGCACCAACAGTCTAAAAGCTTGGAATTTCAACTCCCAATGGCCCTGCTGGCTGGGGCTGATGGGAGTTGCCATCCCAAACATTTGGAGGGCAGTAGGTTGTGGAAGTCTGCTCCAAATCATTGCAAACTCACGCATCAAGCACGTACAGTCCCCAAACATAACCAACTGTAGAGGGTATACAGGAGCTTTCACTGAATTGAGCAGAAAGATACTATGTTCTGGGAGGAATTTTAAAAAGTGTTGATTAATTTGTGATTGACTTACCCTTCAACACCCATGTGTTGTGAAAGCCTGCAAAAAACAAAAACACCCAACCTGACTTTTGTTTTTTAAAAACCCAACTTTGTTAGTGTGTGCTATTTTAAATGTGGACCGGGGTGGGGGGCAGATAGCAACAAGTTCAGTCTAAACGAAGAAACTGTCCTGGCAAATGGAAAGCCTTTTGTACTGTTGTGCTATTGGTTTTTTTCTTTTTTCTTTTAAAAAAAGAAATCATAAGTTTGTAGTTTGTCCTGATAATATGATTGTATTTTTTAAAAAAGGTTCAAGATACCAGACACCAGCAGACCATAGTTTTCCCATATATAATTGCTCAAGTACAGTTTGAGCAGTTTGTGCATAGCTGCAATATATTTCTAAAGCATTGTGCATTAAAATGAAAAAGACACAGGATGATCACTTAGGCGTTGCTGCCACACGGCACTTTGAATTGTAACAGCACTTTAGAAAAAGAAGTACCACGCGGCGTTATCATCAACTCAGCATTTCCCCAAATTCCGCAATGCTATCAGTCAACTGATTTTTTAAAAAGGGAACTGACTACGCACAACACTTTAAAAAGAAAGAATTAGTTTTGAATTTATTATTATTGTTTTTAAGGACTTTGCAGACTGCACACACAAATGCAGCTGCAGTTTCAGCACAGTCAAACCGGCACACACACTGCTTAGGAAATCCCACAGATAGCTCTTCAATATTCTTATAAAGTAAGGCAGAAAGGCTTTTCTAAATGTGCATAATGTGAGATAGGCATGTTTTACTTGACGTGGCAACGTCCCAAATTCTGCTTTGATCTGCGCTGTGCAGTCAAAGTCAGATATTTTTCTTCCTGGTTTGCTAGCTGTTTGAAGGAATCGGTTGGTTGGTTCTTTTGCCTTTGCCCATTCAGGATACCTCTTCCTTCTAATGGAGACCCGCGAGACGGTGCATTGTGGGACGGTGCTGGTGAGAGAACTGCAACGTCCACCTGCCCTAAAACCGGCATCCATCATGGCTGCTGCAGGCAGGCAGAGCTACAGAGCCACGCTCCCGATATGGGTTTCTACAGCTTTGAACTCACTACCACCCTACTCCAGTGCCATCCAGGCAAACGTGAGCAATACTGGTGTCGGGAGGCCCCACCCCACCCCACTGGCTACTATTGGTTAGCGTCATTCCCCACAATGCATTTGCACAGAATTCCCAAGCCTAAATGGGGGAACGCCATGTTACGCCAATGGGACTTTAGATATTACCTAGCAGCACAACTGTGGCTTTTGGGAAATTCTGCTTCCACCCACACCTTCAAGTTGCCACGTTGAGGAGAGCTACAGGTTACAGATATACGGATCAATGCTGTATCTGACTGTCTCGCTTCTTTTGGGTTGCTAAAGCTCAGAAGAAATACCTTGCACAGATGTGTATGTCACCAAGCCGTTACGGGTCATGCTCTGCTCCAAAGCATGTAACGCGGATACCTCATCTACTGCACTTGTACTATGTCCCACGAGGCTATATGGGGGTGGGTTGGATTTCCCTTTGAACTACTCTATCTTTTCTTTTCTTAATTCCAAATCCTGTAAAATAAATATTCTCTCAGGTTCTCCCACACGTTATTGCAAAACAAAAACAAAATATTTAAAAAACTATGCACAGTCTGAGCTGGATGCAGCAAGCTTTCCCATCACTTCTTGCTGAAGAAGATTTTTTAAAAAATCTCCAAACAAGGAAAGCACCCGCTGGACTCTATAAATAAGAGTGGAGACCTTCTTGGGGCAACCTCCCCCCTCCCTACTGCCCTCTGCTGGTAGACCGGAAAAAAGCTCTTCCCACCCGTCCCCATCTATTTGCAGACAAACTGGTCCACAATCTCTGTGCACTTCTTGCATTTCACGTAGCAGCACCAGTGGAACTTGCAGTGGCAGCGCTCCGTCTGCACCGTCTTGAACTGGTCGTAGCCCCGGCCGCAGCACATGAGTTCGCAGCCGTCCATGCCTTCCGAAGTCTTGTTGCAGAGGCGCCCCTGGGTGCCCAAGGAGCCGGTGCTCTCGTTGCGCACACAGTAATCGGGGCTGGGGTCTATGTACACCAGGTCGTGGATGGTGGGCGCGTTAAAGCGGCTGTTCACTTGCACCAGCTTGCCCCGGGGGTTGAGCTTCATGGCTGCCGCGCTGTCGTATTTCTCCTTCAAGGCGTCGCCAACCTTGCGGAAGTCAGCCAGCTGCAGCCAGCAGGTCTTCAAGCTGCACGATCCGGACACCCCGTGGCACTTGCAGGCCACGTCCGCCAAGCTGTACACCGTCTGGGTGGGAGTTGGAAAGAAGGAAGAAGGTCAGTGCAAGTCTGGGGCAAAATATACCTCCGCCACAAACACGCAGGAGGCATGGCCTTCGCAACGGGGAATCCATTCCCCCTTGACAGCACTGCATTCCTTGGCTCAGCGCTGTCACTCTTCCAGGACACACCTCTGAACTGCCCTGTTGGGATCCTTCAAAAAAACACACACCACACCGCCCTTATTGTGAAGGATGATTAAAAACAGCTTTACTTTCATTCATTCCCTTCACAAAAAGCCCCACCTGTTCTTAACAGTCAACTGGCACAGCGTGGCAAGTGGGGGGCGTCCAGCACACAAAGAGGAACTTCTGGCACGTTTCCCTGTCAATTTGTTTGTCTGCCTCCTCCTTTGTTTAATAGGCTTATTATTCACCTTTCTAATAAAAATAACCCAAGGGGAGATTATAGTTATATATACATAGCACACATACGTGCATAACAGACAGGAACAAGTCTGGCTCACATCCCTCTGTGCAACTTGCAGCATGTCATTTACCGAAAGCCTTTCACCAACCATGGGGACAAGAATGAAAAGTGGACAATAAATTGCCAACAACAAAAAAAATTAAGCACCAGTTGTCATATAAGACTCTTGATTATATTGCAGTCTTCCTAATGCTCCTGGGGAATGGTCTGGCCACCACACGGAGGCTGAAATTACTCCATGGAAAGCTGTTTGGCATACCGTGGCTCACCACATGAATTGGGTCATTTTCTCCACATCTCTACAGATGTTTTTGTCTTGGCCCCTTGGACAGGCACTGAGATGAGAGGGGACAATAGCTCAGCGGCAGGCCACACGCTATGCTGGCGGGAAATTAAAAGGTCTCAGGAGTCAAATAGCATTGAATTACATGGATCAGGGGTCTCTTGGGCAACTCCTCACATCACCCCTGATATGCATGCGAGCAGCTCGTCACCTGGCACTGGTCCCCTAATGATGCTATGAGGAGTATTTCCATGTGGTGCCTAAAGCATCTATACTGCCTGGCAGGGTTGGCGCCAAGTATGGCAAGGAACTGGGAGCTCTCTTCTGCCGCTGGGCCCTGTGTGAAGCACTACATGGCTGGATCTAGACACCCTTTTAAATTCTCACAATGCCCCAGAGCAGGGGGTAGGGAACCTCAGGCCTGGGGCCAAATGAGACTCACACACACACACACACCATTTCTCTTTTGTTCTTGGGACTCTCCTCAGGATACACCCCTCTCTCCAAGTCATGCCCCCTTGGCAGTGTTTCTGCCTGGCTGGAATGTGTCCTTAAACTCTGATGACGATGGAGGATAGACAGTGGAAGGCGGGCGGGTGTAGGATCTCGCCTGCACAAAGGTACAATTTACATTCCTTGCTCCACTTCCTTTTGCCTCTGGCCCTGCCCACTCCTAGCATATGGCCCCCAGAGGGTGGCCTAGAAGGGAATGTGGCCCTAGGACTGAAGAGAAGGGTTCCCCCACCATTGCTCCAGAGCTACACTAGATCAGAGACACCTCAGAAAACCAAAAGGATGCCTAGATCCAGCCACCTGGTGCTTTCTGGAATACAGGACCAGGAAGGAAAACAGTTAGGGCAACCCAGGGTAGGCAGCAGTAGCAGCAGGCCGTGACAACTGCGCAAGGAAGCCATGCACAGGCAATGCTGGCTGGAATAGGAGTGAGCTTCTGGCCATTCAAAAATGCTGCGATCTGTAACTCCCAACCAAATCAGGTCATTTATTACGGCATACTACACAGGCCTAGTTCAAATAGTTTTGCCTTTTCAGTGGTGGCCCCATAGCTGTCAAATTCTTTTCCCCTTGAGGTCAAGTTGGCACACTGCTTCCCCTTCCTTTAGAAGAAAAATCGAAGCATATTTATTCACTGTGCCTTTTCTGTTCCACCAAACTATGGAGCTTTGACAGCATTCTATTGTTTAAGCTACTGTTTCCCTTGTTTTTGTAATTACTCACTGTAACTTTAAAAGCACTGTTGTCTTAACTGACATTATTTTAACTGTTGTCATTATAAAATCATCATTATCAGCAGCAGCATCACCAATGTTATGGACCACTCCAAGAACCACTGAAATCTACAATTACTGTAAAGAAAGTAGGGGAAATGGTTTGGCCACTGGAACGCGCTGGGTGTTCGCACATTCCCTGTTAACCTCATCTAGCCAATTCTTTCAAACACATATTCACTTATAAGAATAACCATGGCTTGTTCCAAATTGAAAACCAAGCAAACTGTGTGTATTGCAAATTATTAGTTTGCCTCAAAACTATCGAGGTGAACTGCTGGCTGTCATGTTCAAGGGGCAAATGCCAAGTGACTCCCACGAACACATCCTACTGCCATTATTGGAGCAGCCATCCAGTTAGCAACCATGCACTTGCAAACACCCTAGCACATCTTAAAAACGCAAGAACCGTGTCATGTCAGATGGGAGCAGGCACTGCTTCAAACCATAATCAGAAGTCCATTTCAAAATTTGTTCAAATGGATAGCGAAAAGCACCCAATATGCCCACCTAGCTTGTGGGATTAGGCAGAAGCATGGTAGATACTGTGCATTCACTGGTGGCCGTTTCCTTGGCTAAAGAGCTATATCAGGCTGAGATCAGCTAGAGAGGGGAGATTCCGAGAGGGAAACAGTTGGGCCAGGTTTATGTCACTAAGCTATGGTCTTCTTCCCTTGAACATAGGATGCTGCCTACCAAGTCAGTTTGTTGCTCCTTCTAGTGTATGTTACTGGACTACAGCTCCTATTATCCTTGGCCATTGGGCTCTGCTGGCTGCGAGTCCAACAATGTCTAGAGGGCTACAGGTCCCCCATCCAAAGTCCATACTGGCTGGCCATTTCAGACCGAGGCATTCCCAGCCCAAGCTGAAGATGCCGAGGATTGAACCCAAGATCTTCTGCACACAAAACAGATGCTCTGCCGCCAATCCTCAGCCACACACAAGACGGCAGAACTAAAATCAATGCCACCTGACCAGTCAGTGGACTGGCTTGCTGCTGCTAGACTTGCATCAGATTTTCTCTCTCCCTGCACACCACCCGCACTGCAGATTTTCCACTCCTGATTCGGCAGCTTCCTCCTACACCAATCTCTCCGCATGCAGCTGAGTTGCTCCATCCAAGAGAGAAAACCCCAAAACACCTCTGGGTGGGGGACAGGCCTACACCGCAATATCCTCTTTGTAAAGCCTTGGCAAGGAGACCTCGATAATTTACCCTGTATAAATAGACATGAGTCAGTGTTGACACAGCCCCAAAAATCCTGGGGTCTGACACATTAGGTGGATGCTGAATGCCACTTCCACCCAGCATTAAAAGAAAGTTTTTTGGGGGGGGCGGGAGATGGAGGAGGAAGAGTTCAACCTCTGCCAAATGCCATCGCAGGGAGGCAGCTCAAAGGGGGTGGTAGCAGGGAACCACTCGAAGCCGACAGGGGCAACTGTGAAAAGCCATTTTTCTCCTGCCTAGCAGCAAATTGGCCTTTCCATTGCTTTCAGATGCCTTCTTCTCACATTTAAATGCTATTAATTTTCAATTATCCTTCATCCTAATTCACCTTGAAACACAAGTGTAAAGTCTCCAGCCGACGAGTCCTGGCACCGTCACTTCTAGGAAAATAATGACTTTGGCTCCTTCCACTCCAGGGCAATAAAAATGAAGTTTACACTCATTCGTTTAAAAGATTTTAAAGATTAAAAAAGCCATAAAAACTGACTTCCACCGCAGAAGAGCATGTTTTCTAATAATACAGAGAAGCTGGTTGTTGGGTGGGTGTGTTTTTTTTCACAACCTCACAAGGAAGAGTGAAAATAGCCCCCTTGCAAGAATATTTCACTCCGGCAAAATACGGCGCTTCGGTCACCCGCTCCAAAGAAAACTGGATTGGTTGGAAATATAAACTAATAAAATTCTATTCTGCATAAAATTCACTGTGACTTGCACTATTTTACTAGAACAACTTGGAAGGGAGGTGGGAAGGGGGTACGTATTTAGCCCATTTGAAGGAAGGCTATCAACCCATGGCCCTTGTCGTTGCCTTATACATAAGAATATGAGAAGAGCCTGCTGGATCAGGCCAGTGGTCCATCTAGTCCAGCATCCTGTTCACACAGTGGCCAACTGGAAGCCTGTGGGGAAATCAGCAAGCAGGATTTGAGCACAACTGTGGCAGCAGAGCACAGCCATTCTAGCTAGTAGTTACTGATAGGCTTCCTTCTCCCACTCTCATTCGTTGCATTTAAATGGAACCTTTCCCCCTCCAGATCTAAAGGGAAATAACAGATCTCTCTTATTTAAACAAGACATATTCCAGAGATCACCCATTGTTCAAACTCATTCAAAATAAAATTGCTTTTAACCCAAAAAAAACCCACCACACACAGAGGTTTGGGAACAGGTATTGCTACAGATTTGAAACGGGCCTTGGGAACGCAAACGGTTTGGCATCACAGTAAGAAAAGGCAAGAACAAACATTATTTTGGGGGGAGGGGGCGGCGGTTTGAGGGGGGGTGAGACTTACTCTCCTCCCTGCTTCGTTGTTATGAAGATTCATCAAGATCCTGGCGCTTTCGTAAGTTCCTCTCTGGTAGATCCTCTCTCGCTCGCGGGCATCCACAAACTCTTTGGCAAAACGGTAGCCATAGTCAATGTTGTCCCCACAGCCACCCCACAGCCAGTCCCGAGGTAAATCTTTCGGCCTAGCAGCCCGGCTGCAGCCACAGGAAGAGAGCTCCCCCTCCCGGCAGGCCCGGCTCATGGCATTGACCACACCGGCAGCACTGACTGCGTACGTGAAGGCTGTCTCCCGGCTGCCTGCAAGGAAAAAGAGGAGGCTCAGAGTTACACACCAGGATCACATACATTTATTTTATTTAATACAGGTGAAGATCAACTGCCATTCAATTCTGAGCTTCCCCCACTCCTGACGTGACAGATGTTCATTTGAAAAGGGAAACAACAGCACACGAATGAAGTGTTCCCACTGTAGCTGATGGTATTAGATATCAGGATAGTGGCATAAAAATCCTAGAGTCTGCTATGCTGGTTAGAAAGAAATTCAGGCATCTTGAATTATCTATTCATTTATCTACAAAGAAGGAAACATATTGGAGAAGCCTGAGGTCTGGCCATCAGCTCTGGTAAAGTAAAAGAAAAAATGTCAGAAGTCTTCTTAGGATTTTTCTTCTTCATTGCCAAAGTTTAAAGGCTTGAAGTTCAGAGCTTGTTCCATTTGGTTAAATGGGACTTTATCCCTAGTAAATGTGCACAGGATTGCAGCATAAGAGAGTCTTCTGTGATGGAAAGCTCCACTCAAGTCGGCTAATTACTAATTATCCTGAGGGGAAATTCATTAGTTGGTATATTACCTGAATCCAATTTCCCCCCGAAAAGAATTCATTTATAAATATCTCACTACGTAGGAGCTTGATGAAGCCCACAAGCCACATCTTTCAGTTCCTCCCAATTTTAGCCAGACCATGCTCTCTGTAGTCTTTCAAAAAGAGTAGCTAAGGGTCTCTACGAAAGGTAAAAGGGTACCCCCCTCCCCAGCAGATACTTTGCAACAAACACTGCCCTCACAGTAGCAGCTCCAAAAAGTTTAAAGCTGTGGTAAAGCTCGCCTTGTGTGCTGCTGATGTTTCTAAGAAACCAGAGGTCTGGGGGTTTGTTGTTGTTTTACACAAAAACAATTTCAAGAACTTCACTAGCTCAAAGAATGGGACCCAAATTTCAAAGAGCCCATTCTTCAGTGGAGCCTTTAGCTATTTAGGCACTTTCGCAGATATATATTTTTTCTATTTGAGGAAGTTCGGAATCACTGGAAAATCAAACATTTTAAACAAACGGAACAGACTGATGAAGGCACACACCAAAGCACCCAACCATTGTAACTGAGGCATTTTCTGTTTGAGGGCACCTTCCTGCTTTTGGAGAACTTTGTACTACTACATAGGCCTACCAATTCTTGGTCGCATTTTATAAGCTGGACTCGATTTTAACAGACATAGCAGAACACTGAAAGCACCCTGTAGTATTTATTCTAGTGTCATTCACAGCAAAGCTCATAGGAGCTCTGCCTAATTGGTCCCCTTCCACAGAGATAGCTCACATCTCACTATCATTTTGGGGGATATGCCACGTCTAGGTTCTTCTCCACAAGCATGTTTTGAAAAGAACCCTTTCAAGTCTGGACAGGGGCAAAAAGGTAGAGATCGAAATATGCCGAAGAGAGAAAGAAAACAGATGGAAGAAATTTGCAGGGGAGGGGGGAGCAGTTTGAGCAAGCAGCCCTGTGCCATGAAACTGTTTTCTGTAGGCTTCAGCTTCAGACGGTAGGAGCCTGTTTAAAGCAAGTCTCATCAACTTTGACAGTATTCGAAGTCCTGTTGCCAGCAGAGGGCTGGTTTGTTTAGAAGCTCCTCGCTCTCTGCTAGGCACGAACACGATTCCTTTATTATTATTATCTAAAGCTTTCTTGCATTCTCCCATGTAAACTGCTGATGTCTATTTCAAAAAAAAAGAAGAAGAAAAAGAAAAAAGCCCTCCCTACTTTTATACTATTTTGACAGAAAGGGGCTGCAGAGAAAACAAGTGATTCGCTTACACATCTCGAAAGGGAATTTAGGCTATAATCCGGCTCAGTTTGATGGTTGAAATGCCATCGCCGTCAATGGGATTTAAGCTGCCCAACTGTGCAAGGGAGGACACTGCCTTGGGGTTTTGGTTTTGGGTTTTTTTGCATCAAGCTGCAATAACTTATACAAACATATGATAAGGCGCAAAGCTATATTTCCTTTGAACAGCATTCTCAACTTGAAGCCAAGATTCCACTACTATTGCCAGCGCAGTTAAATGTCTAGTCATAGACATTTTTTAAAAACTTATTAATTGAATTTGTTGCAGTTTATTACTTTCTCCTTCCAGGGAGGAAAACAACAACAACACACAGAGACATTTTCCCAATATTATGCAACCAATTTTCCAGGCTCTTTCAGAAGCAAGGAAACAGCATGTTTTATTTGAGCCAGCAATATTGTGGTGATCTGATTCACATCACACTGAAGTGAACGCCAAGGCTTTTGCGAATCAGGTTTAGATGATCAACCCTTGGGAGCAGTTACACAGAGAGCAAGTCAACGTTTTGGTACCATAGTGATGGCTCATTTGCAATCTGAACATATTGCAGGATATATTGAACTTAGCTAGAGTTTTGCTATTGACTTAAATTTGGTCCAACAGCAGTCTGAAATGTTATATAAACTTCCAGGATTTTTAGTGTGCTACATCAAACCACTATCAGCTCATAATTCTTTCAGGTCAATCAGCAAAGACATCATAGAGAAACATACAGATCCAGGCAGAGAGCCCAAACTGGCACAATCTTTTGTCCTAACTGCACACTGTAAGTGGATTTATAGCCCTGTAAGGCTGAGCCATGTCTATGCAAGAAGAAGGGCACCAAAGCTGAGATCTTGTCCCCCATTCAAGAGAAACAGCAACCAATCCAATAGTTTATTCGAGGAAACTAGACCCAACTATGCAATGAGAGCACATACTTGTTCTCAATGAATACACTTTTCAGGATCTTTAACAGCTCAATGCACACATTACACTCACTTCTATTTTCAGTTAATCTAAGTGGCCAATTACCCTACTAAATAAAAATAAATACATGCAGATGTCTTGTGGAGAAGAAACAGAGACCTGGAAGCAATGGGGACCCATTCCAGGACTTGTAGATGCAAAGTCTGCAAAAAGAGACCATGGCAACTTAGACATGAGTCTTCAAGGCTGGAACATACCTGACCAGGTATACAAACGCTTAAGGTTTCAGTACTTTCAGGCTTTTGCTGTACTGTTTTTGTTTATTTTTTTCAGTATGGGGCAGTGATAATCTGACCAGCTATTCTAAAGCTCTCAGTTCTACAGCATCTGTAATGCAAAGCTGCAGGAGAAAACTTAAGTCTTCAATAAACAAGTGTTTCCACTTAGTTCCTTTTTTTGGAGGGGGGGAGGCATGGAAAATGTTTAATCTGAGATTTTGTAAAGCTTATTTTTACATAAAATTAACTTCTAGGGTAAATGTGACTTAACAGCATCCCTGCAAGCAATGCAGAAGCCTACTCAATGCATAAATGAAGTTACCTTTAATCTAATTTTAAAGTCATTCCAATCCTTCCCTATCCGATTTCAAAAAGCGGGATTTAAAATTAGATTTAGATCTCTGCATTCTGAGATGCTGGTATACACAAGTTGTGCGTTTGAGGCTGGGGAGGGGACATGGAGAGAGATGTATAGATTTGAATGTATACTAGAAATGCCATTATTCTAGTTGGGGAGGGGGAGCAACCCATCAGTCATTAGAGTGATGCTGCCTTTTAACCCTTGTAATTTAAGCAGGGGCAGTATTTATGCTGATGTGAGCTCTACAGCAGAAGGGCCCTGTCAAAAGCAACTAACAGAAGCTACACTCTCAGCATACAGGGATTGGGAGATTGCTCCAAGACAGCATTTTTAATTAACCATAACAATTATGGTTAAACACATGCAACACCTACCTATGTTCTTAGCCTCAATGAAAGCACGTTGACTGCGAGTGCCAACATCTTTCATTTCTAAATTGAAATCCCCTTGAAACAAAAATTATTTTGCTAGGGGGGGAAAGGCTACAGTCTTAAAGCACACTTAACTAGGGAGTAAGCCACATTGAGCACTTTGGGGGCTTGCTTCCAAACACACACAGAATTGGGCTGTGAAGGGGAAATGGACTAAACATAAAAATTATGGCATGACAAAAAGCTGGCGTGTGGTTAATCCGGAGTCCAATTCAATTGTCACACAGCTTTGGAATCCCAGACATAAAAATGACCCTGTTCTGGCTGAAAACGACTTGTTTTCATGCTTCCTCCTTTAAATTTAGATCTGGCTTAATTTTAATCTGCATCAGGACAAGGTGAGAATGGCAATGCTACTCTTCCTGTTCCATACCACCAGTGGTCCCCATGTGCTTCTAGTTTCACAGGAAGGATCTCTGGGCTAAAGGCCATTTAGCTTTCTCCTTCTTGACAGGTTTCAATGGCGCATAAAGAACCTGGCAGGTTTTCCTAGCACACACACCATGACGTAAATCCAGCACACACAACTCCCAGGCCCGTCCTACCTATCTGCATGACTCTGCCAAAAACAGAGTTGTTATCCACAGTGCTACAATTCCATCTTCTGTGGCGGAACTGATACTGGCATTCCTTGATCCCCGTCTTGGCACCCTCTCCGATGTACTGCATGTGGTCCTGGTACAAGTGGCAGAGTTTCTTTTGTCCTTGGGAGAGCCCGGCCAGTTGGCTGCAAAGGGGCTGGGCTCCAATGATGTACACCTCCGGCATCTGAACGGGGTTCATGGGGTTCATGTGGTTCATACCCAGAGACCTGTGAAAAGACAAAGGGTTGCAGCAATAAGCTCAAGAACAGCAGCTGAATGCACATGCTGTGTGGATTCCACAGACATGGAACCCAGCCCTGAAACAAATTTGCTTGTTCCATTTGGTCTGCTGGGGACGGCGGCCAAAATGTGGGAAAGGTGCCGGGTGTGTGTGTCTTCAGCTTCGTTCAATGGTTGGAAAGCTAAAGTAAACCACATGCATGAATTTATTGAGACAGACACTGAATTATGCAGCTATCTAAATATGATGGTTGCCCCCCTCTTAGGCTGTCTCCCCTCCTAGGCTTCAAATTTCACACTATCCATCCCTATGGATTTTTTTCTTTTTTCAAACCTGGAAACAAAATCCAAGATGCTCCCAGAACACGCTTCATTCTCTAACATGCCATGTCAATCTTTTTTAAAAAGAAAAATAACTATCAGACACTAGAGAATCTTCTGTAGCAAGAGAATTGTTACCATCCAAAAGTTCGGTCTCATGATCCATAAAGGATGTAATGCAGGCCAGATAAATTAAATGGGATTTCGAGGGCCTCCCTCCCCTCATGCCATCATTTAAAAATTCACAATCAAGAATTGGCACACAAGTGAATCCTGTCACCAAACGCCTTATTCACCCAATGTCTTAAAGACCTCAACATGTGTGCCTGTTTACTCAGAAGCAAATTCTATTCAGAAAAAGGGAGCTTACTCCCCAGTAAGTGTGCCTAGGGTTTCACAGCCTCATTTGCACAATTCTTTTGAGCTGAAACCAGCAAGACCCTAAACACACAGGACTCAAAAATATGCGGCTCACTTCTGCACAGATGTGTCTAGAAAGCCAGGAGGACATTCCCGATTACAATTTTACATTTAATTTAGTTTCTAGAGTACTACTTATTCCAAACCAGGATTTGAATGACTACATAAATGCAGGCTGCCTATCCTTTCCCCTCCATCCCTCCTAAAAGAATAGGAAAAATGGATTCAGGGTGTTCATAGTTTTTATTTTCCCAGGAGCAAACTAGGCCTCCTCCACCTTATTGAATGGGGTTTTTTTAAAAAAGGGAGGGGGATTAATTAATTTGTACAGATGATGAAAATATTAAAAAGCTTACCACCAAGAGCTGGCTTCTATCACAACTTGGATAAGTGAAGAGAAGATGGCCAGACTCAGAAAGAGGTACTTAGAAGTCATTGCCTCTGTCCACAGAGCTCCACCTTGGACTAAGGTTCCCATGGACTTCTGCAGGGGAGGGAAGAAGAGAGCGAGAAGCTTTTATGGCCTGGACCGGACCATCTCACGAGGGAACAAAGCGCAGCCCCCCGGGGGTCTGGGAGAGGCGGCGGTCCTTCTGCGCCTCAGCCAGGGACTTGTGCAGTGGCCAAGCCAGTGTCTGCTCCAAGTTCATTCACCCGCCTCGCCGCGAAGGCTCGGCTTTTGAGTGAATCCCAAAGCAGTCTCGATAAGGAGGAGGAAAAAGCTGAGTAGCAGCGGCGCCCAGCCCACAGTTTTATGGACACACACAAATACACACACCATCCGCCTCCGGAAAGAAAAAGAAGGCCGTTGCCAACCCCTTCCGCGCTTTGCTGCTCAGACGCGGAGCGCGCAACAAGTGGAGAGCGACGGTCAGTCGACGGGGAGGGAGGACAACAGCACCCGCGTCCCAGCCGCGGCGCTCGGCTTCGGATTAGAACGACGCGCGCCTCCTCCTTTTTAATTATAGGAGCCGCTTCCAGACGAGAATCGTCAAAACGGATCTTGCTCAGGAAGGTGTTTGCAAAGCACGTTTTTCGCCGCCGGCCATCGCTCCTCCCCAACGTCCGCGCATAAAATCCCCCGTCTCATCCCGTCCCGCCTCCTCCCCCCCATCACAGACAGCAAGACCTAGGGCTCTGACACAAACCAAAACCCCGCAGAGACGGACAGTGCCACCCCCACCCCACCCCACATCCCGCTCCTCACTGTGTTATCTGGATAAGTTAAGACAGAGCCGTATGGAGGGGGGGGCAACAAGGCGCGCGGCGGAGAAACGCGTCTGCCGCAGCGCGCCGCAGTTGAAGCAGCCGATGAGCGCAGAGCTCTCTCTTCTGGGCGAGGGGGCAATAAGAGGACAGTGACCTGGGCCCCTGGGACCATCCAGTTGGAAGCGCACGGCGGGGGAGACGGGAATATTGGAAGCTCCTCCGACCTTGGGCAGGGACCTGAGGCGAGTTAGACCCCCTAGTTCGACTCCTCTCTTCCCACCCCCTCCTCCGCGCAGCCGATTTCTGGTTACAGTGGGGGAACGATATAGGAAACCCTTCCATGTACTGCCAAATGGCGATAGGGGGCTGCTTGTTCCCTTTCCAATTATCCGGGCAAATGGAGTCAAAGGAAACCAGCTCTTTTTCACAGGGGAAGAAGATTCATTGCTCCCTTTGATGAACTGGGAGCAAACCCTTGTTCTTGCTGTAAAAAGGACTATGGAGAAGAATTTGCAGCCCGAAGTTCTATCTGGCGGCCGCACTCTGGTAACCTGTCCCGCCCCGCCCGTTTAATGTTACGTGAGGCATTCCAGAGTCTGGAATGTCGCACCTCGAAATCGTCCTCTGGAGCCAACCGATCCGAGTTTGTGTGTGTGAACTGAACGGGGCTACTCGAGAGTGAGTGTCACAGGAGCAAAAAATGCGGCGGGTGGGGTGTAGATCTGTGGCCCTCAGCGCTCCAAGCGCCACTTTGGACAGCAACCGGGACTTTTGCACGCAAGATATAAAGGACTCGATCCGCGTGAAGTGCACCATTCAAGTCCGTGTAAACAGAAACGTAGAGCGAGGGACAGATCGATCCAGAAAAGCAGTAGCCGTCCAAGCTTATAACAACAGAGAAATGAAGCCCCGGCGGCTTCGGTGGAGTTTACTCCCAAGTAAATAATGCGCGCATAAGGCTCCCATGGCTGGATTTTTATTGGCCCGATTACAAGAATCCGATAAGGGACAGATGACGCCCTAATAATGCAAGCAAAGAGAAGCTACTTGGTCTCCACTCCAGACTCACGCGCTAGTTTGGCCTTTCAAGTAGGCGCATTCCACCTAATCCGATTGACAAACCCGTCCAGACCGCGTCGCCGTTCCCCTCTAACGCCGGTCTTGCCTTAGGACGTCGGACGCCGTTATTCCAGGGGGCTTAATAATAGTCAGAGCGCTTCGCGGGCTCGACGGATATCGGTGCGGAGAGCTGTGGGCGCCTCTCGCTTCAGTGGGCTGGGTTCCAAGAAGGGCCTTGTAGAGTACACCGGATCGCGGAAACGAGGGGGCTTTTCGGAGGCTCGCCGGTGGCGGAGCGGCTCCCCCAGGCTCCAAGGCCGGTGCGTTGCCACCGGTGGACTCCCTTGCGCCTTAGAGCCAAGCGATCGCGCCACGAGGAAGGCGGCTCTGGCGCCGGAAGGGCCCGAGCGAGGAAACTTGGCCCTGCCCGGCCTATCGCGGGGTCCCCGCGCTTGCCGTCTCGCGCCTAGGCAGGCCTGAACTTTGCTGCGTCCAGAGGGCCTCGTCCACCCACAGCCCGATTCCCCTTACTACAGATCTACATATATAAATCACCTTATCAACCAAGGAGCTCCTACCGTACCTCGGGAGGAAGCCAAGGGCCAACGTAGCCCCGCGGAGCGGCCTTCCTCCCCGAGCAAAGCATGACACAAGGCTGCAGGAATTTGGGGGAACAGGCCGGAGGGGGTTGCGCGTCTAGTGACGGGCCGCTGACGGCGCCCGATTTATTTCCCCGGCAGTCTGAAGCGCCTTGAAGGAATGTGGAGAGTTCATGCCCCATAAAGCCGGCCACGCTCCAGCAAATTGGGGACGGGGAAGGAGCAGAGAAGGCGAGGCTGGAGAGGAACAGAAAGCCCCCGCAGCCGTCGGGGGGATGCAAAACTCATGTGCGTGTGCAAATAACAGAAGGGAATAAATCCCCAGCTAGAGAGAGAAGCCAATGTGTGTGTTTCGGCCGATGTGCACATAAGAGGTTCAACGCCCCCCCCCCGCCCCGCCTTTTTGCCACTGGCTCCCTGTGTGGCCCGATTCCCTCGGTTTTTCCGCCTGTCTTATGGGACTGTTGAATGAGCGATGGACTACGTCGGCACCGCCCGTCGGGCGCCTTGCGCCTCTCTCAAAGCGCTGTGCGAACAAGACAGCAACTTCGCGGTCCCAGCCTCAGAGCTCTACCACTTTCTTCCCGACGAGGGCAGCGCGCCGCCGGAGATGCAAGCCCGTCCGTCGCAAGGGAACGCCTCACGCAAAGATGCTGGCGGAGTCAAGGCGGGGGGGGAGGAGGGTGTCCAAGGATGCGCAGTCCTAGGGGGATTGTCAAGGGGGTGTGGGCGCGCGGGGTAGCAGGACAGACTCTCCAAAAGTCATCCACAGATAGGGACTTAAAGAAAATATATACAGTATATCCGAATGAGAAAACCCATCGCTGCCACACAAACCCAGTTTCGGCTGTGATCGTGACACCGGCAGGCCTTGACTTCGGAATCCTGGGGCGCAAGGAGATTCTTCGGGAGGAGTTTCCTTTCAAACTCCGCGCGCGCCTAGTCGAAATATTAGGCTCGGAGGATTAACGCTAGTATAGCTGCATCTGAGTGATCTTCTGCGCCCAGATCGAGCTATAGATCTAATATTTAAAACCTGGTTTATGGCGGAGCCGGCTTTGTTTTAAAGGCGAGAGAGCCTAGTTGGACGCGGAAGCCGTTCTCTGCCGCCCCCAATAGAGGGCAGCCGAAGCCGTCAAACGAAGCCCCGGGACGCTACACTAGGGGGCCAGAGAAAGAGGGATGGTGCCTCTCTCCGCGTTTCGCCCTCTCTTTTTGTTAGAAGTAATACTTCACCATTTCGTGGGGTTATTCCGTTCAGCCTGATCCAGAACGGAGAAAGAGCTCGGAGGCGGAGACCCCCTTCGGAGGGCGCCAAAAAGAAAGGCCCGGTGGTGTGCAGCGCCACCAAGTCTCCCGGAACCGTTTTTTGAAATGCCCGGCGAACACTGGAAACATGCCGCCGAAGAGTCCATTAGGACCGGACCCTTTAAACTTCGCGTTCGAAGGCAGCCCCCGGACAGAGCAGCCCATTGCTTTTTGCGGGGGAAATCAGCTATTTTAAAACGTTTTCTTTTTCGGGAGTGCAAATCATCCCTCCCCAAGAGCAGCCAGAAGGGCTCGCCCGCCTGCGATCCTAAACTTGCTTCTCTCTCCCCCCCCCCATTAAAAAAGAAAAAAAGAGCACAGGAGGTCTGGAAAGCCTGTTAGGGCATCTGGTTTTATGGCCGCTGTTTTAATGCTAGCTCTACCTTAGGTAAGTAGGCATGCAGACTGCGAGCCCCCTGGGCTCGGGTGGGTTGTAAAACGCAGGAACAATTGCCGAGGCGGGCCGGCTGGACGGCTTTGCAGGGCCAAGAGCGAGCCCACCACCTTGCCCTGGAGGGGAGGGGGTTTTGGAAAGGAAGGGGGGCTGTCTAAGAAAAGCGGGCGAAGCATTCCAAGGTTTTATGGGCTGCAATTTTTAAACAAGGAAAGCTACTCATATACTAAAACTCCGGGAGGTGGAAGAGGGGAGGGAAAAGGTTGCCTTTTCTCCTCGCACCCCTGTTCTTACATATTAAATGATATCCCGGGACTTTCGTTCAAGATCTCCCTGGATCTCTCCTTCGCCTCTCCTCCGCCCCCCGCCCCGCCATCCCTCAAAAAGATTAGTTTCTGGGTGAAACTGAACTCCCGGTGACCTCGCGACTGTAACTAATTTAGCATACAATTGACAATTAAAAACAAACACACACAACCTCCTCAATGTGGAGCATCAAAGGGACAGCGAGAATTGGAGGGGGGAGCAAGGAGGGGGGACAAAGCAAAGCCCCTTCTGTCCTCCCCTTCCAACACAAGCGGAACGCTTTACAGATGCAAAGTGACAATATGCAGAAACAGAGAGCAAAATTTGAGGGACTGAGGTGGAGGAGGAGGAGGAGAAGAAAAGCGGCCAGGTTTTTCCCTGGCCACGAGCCAAGTTCTCTTAAAGGTACAGGCCTCCATGTCTGCCATGCCCGGGTTCTTCAACACAAGTCCGCACGGGAGAAAGCTGCAAGAGATGTCCTATAAACCTCGATCTGCCTTGGAGGTGGCGGATGGCCCGGGGGGTGGGTTAGACTGAGAAGCTTTAGGCGCTGGGAATAAGTTCTGAAAAGAACAGATAAGGGCTTTCCAAGGAAATCAACAATACTAAGACGGGGGGGGGGGGACATTATGGGAAGGGTGGGGCAGAATCGGAGCATTTTGCAGCAACAGGTTTGTTGCGAGACTGGAGAGTTCTGACCGGCGAGGAAGCGCGCGCAAAGAGGGGCTCCTGAATGAACGCGGTGAAGAGAGAGGGAAGCCTATGTTCTCATTCTTTCGCTCTCGTCAGTTTCACCTTAAGCCAAATATTTGTAAGAAATCCGAAGCCACAGCCTCCTTCTCGCGCCCTCCCTCTCCAAGGAGCTAATTTTCAAGCGCGCTCTCTCTCTCTCTTTCGACGATTTCCCCCCGATCGCAAATTTGGAGCAAATCCAGCCATCGCTTCGGACCCCGCTCCTTCCCGCAGCCCAGCGGATTTCGAGCCCCCGCCCCGCTTTCCCATTCCTAAGTTGTGTTACTCACCTCCATTGTTGTTGCGGGAGGGAGAAAGCGTCGAAGATGGATGGGGGGTGGTCGGGGGCGGACGGGCGAGGAGAAGAGCGAGACCCGCCAAAGCGAGCCTAGCTTAGCAGCCAAGTAATCCACAAGCGAGGCGGTGCGAAGCCCAAATCGCCGCCGTACGCTCCGAGGCAGAGAAAGGCTGGCAAGGGATCTCCGCCGGGCCGGGCCGGGCCGGGCCGCTCCAGCGACGGAGCAGAGGCGCCTCCTTCGCAAGGTCCATCCGCGGTCGCGAGGGGACGGGACCGGCTCCCAGGCTGGCAGCTCCTCGCTCGGCTCTGGGGCTCAGACCGGCCCAGGTAGTGGTGCTGGTGGTGCTGCAGCGGCGGGTTGGGTGCCTCCGGAGCGCGCCTGCAGGCTCCCTCCGGCGCTCGCCTGCTGCCTACCCGCTGCCACGGGGCGCCCGGGGCTGTCGAGCCGTGCCCAGGCTGCGTCCCTCCATTGCAAGCCAGTCAAGACGGGGGGGCGGGGGGGGCGCAAGGCGAGCTCCTCCGGGCTTCAAAGCGGGAGGCGGCGGCGGCTGCCCCAATCCATGGCCCGCGGTGGCGCGAAGGTGCCTCTTCCCCTCGACCGACTTCCTTCCTTCCTTCCTTCTCCCCGCGGCTACATGCTCCGCCGCGCGGCGCAGAGTCGCTCCCGGCGCTCGCCTTCCCTCCGGCGTCTGGCGCGCTTCTGCCCTCGCCGCTCCTCCGAAGTGCAAGAAAAGTTGCGGCGGCGACGACGGCGGCGGCGTCCGAAGGGGGAAGAGAACGGGAGGGGAGGGGAGGCGCAGGGAGCGGGCGAGAGGGAGCCCTCGGAGAGAGGCGCGCATGCGCCCCGCGCCGGCCTATGGCAGCCCAGAGCGAGGTTCTAAGGAGCACCTCAGGCGGCAGCCTCGGGAGGGACGCGGAGATGCTCCGCGCGAGAGAAGGAGGGTGCCCGGCGCCGCGGGCGAGTGTGTCTTCTCCGCCGCCAGGCTTTTGCAAAAGGCGCCGTTGGGATACGGACGCCATCCGCATCAGTGAACCCGGAGTGGCTGCTTTGCCCCCCCCCCGAAAAGCATTTGTTAATTTTCTCTCCATTTCTAAATCCGTTGGGAATTCAGGTTCACTAGACTGACGCAGGAATAGTTACCACTCCCACGAGCAGCAGTGACTCCGCCGATTTAGAAAACTCGGCTCAGGGGCACAAATCCCCTCCTGCCCTTGCCCTTGTTGTTAATTTTCTGGTTTTTATTTTTTAATCGTTTTTTTAATCGCGGTTACGAGTTTTCTTATCATTCCGTGTTTGATTTTAGATTTGTTTTTGCAACGCTTTGAGGTCCAAGGATTAGATAGCTACTACTAGTAGTAAATAAATAAAGAACCCAGCACTTACTGTTTTCAGATCCAGGACTCGCCCTTAATCCTAGTCTACAACATGGAGACAACTTTTGATTTATTTATTTATTCTGCGTGGTGACGTGCGTGGGCACCACCCCCTTTAGCTCAGGTGCGAACTTCTGCATATTTAGTTAGTCTCATTGGAATAAAAGGGGCCTTACTTCCAAGTAGGTATGTAGGAGCGGGTGGCTGCAGACTAAGGCAACTGTCCCCAAAGCCCTCCAGATGTTTTGTTCTACAATTGCCACCAACCCCCGGCAAAAGATCCAATAGGTAGGGATGATGGAAACTATAGTTCAACAACATCTGGCCGGAGCACCAGGCTGAGTATGGCCGGTCTAAGGCTTTGCTATGAGGGTTTTTTGTTTTGTTTTAATTGGTCGGCTCAGCTCTAAAGTTTAGCCAACTGCGCAGCGAAGCTTAGCAAGTCCTCAGCTGGATTGGTAAAGAAAAATCGTTTTATATGCGTTGTATATGCGATATAGCACTGTGACACCAGATGGCGCTGTGGAGTCCCGTCTTTCCCTGCCGGATTTCCCGGTTGGAGTTTGCAACAAGGTTAACTGAATCGCTTCTTTGACGCGTCTAAATCAAGGAATAATAAAAGGAGAGTGGTGCCTCTGGCCATGAGTGAAGTGCTCTCTCCTCCCCAAGGAACAGCTATGATGACCAAGGTGGCTTCAAGAACAAGGTAGTACAGTACTCACAAAACTTTGACCTGCACCAAATCCGAGGGGCAGGCGAAGAAGTTTCACGTGACTGCCTTGGAAGGAGACTGGTGCAGATCGGAGCCCCTACGTCACCCACGTCCATGTATTGAAAGGTTGGTATAAAGCCCTACTTTGCCATGAGCGCAACAGGAGCGCTGCTAGCAGGTAACACAGATCAGACCAAAGGCCCATCTATTCCAATTTCCTGCAACCTGTTCCCTGCAGTGGCGAAGCAGAGGCCCCTAGGGAACACAGGATCAATATCTGGGGGCGCTGCACCGCTCTTGTTGTTGCTGCCAGCAAATGGTATTTATCTGATCTCTGCTGAAAGGCATCTAAACCCGTACAACGTAACTATTAATTTTTTTTAAAAAAAAGTGTGGGGGCGAAGAGTAACCTACAGGAAGCGATCTTGAACATGTCCCTCAAAGGGGCAGTTTAAAGAAATGGCACCAGAAACTCTTTGCCTGCAGAAAAGCTCCCCCCCCCCCCCCACGTCAGAAGAATTTCCTACTTAAATATGGTGGGGGCAATTTCCAGTCCTTCAAGCCCCTTATTAATGGTGATCAGCCCATAAGCATCATCATATAATCTATTCACCTCAATCTTAAGTACGTTTACACAGTAGTATGTCCCATCGAAATCATAATAATCATAAAGCTTCTGTTATCAACGTGGTTGATTCTATATCGCCGTCCAATGCAACGTCAACCACACTGACAATTTCAGTGGGCTGAAGCGTGCCTAAGTCTCTGCCGGATAGGGGCCCTGTAGACGACAGAAATACCCCCCATTTCATTGGCTAGACAATGTCTTAGACTCGCCATCTGAGTATACATGGTATTCGCCACGTGCATCTGCAAGTTAAAAAAACAAACCAAGCAAAACGATTCATAGGATCGATACTTGAGGTAAGTAGTATTACAGCACATGCAATCTGTGGTTGAAATTCAGTAAAGATAGTATTACAGACCAAACACATTACTGTATCAATTAGGACGTTTTGAATAACTTTATTTCTTGCACAAATCACTTATACACATCCACCTCGCAGAAAGATACGATATATAAACAGATACAACGATAGATGATAGATAGATTATATTTTGATGGCGACGACGTCCTTTTTAAAGGGTGCAGTTCTAAGCACGCATACTAGGTTGCAACCCTAAGCAGGTTAACCAAGAAGCTTTATGATCGCAGAAGTCTCACTGAAATCCATTGGGATTTATTTCTGAGCAAAAGTCCTTAGGATCCTGAGCTGCACACCTCTCCCCCCGGCCCCTTAGGCTAAGCCCCCTCTGTGGTTTGCGAGCCAATCTTACTCGATCTTACTTCCTACTAAACCCGATTTGGATTGGGTTGCCGGTCGGCGCCGTCTGGGAACACGCATACAAACACACACAGCGATTACACGTGTAGTTGTGGGATGACACTTCCCACCCAGCCCCCTTGAAGGATGACTAAGCCCTGGCAGGTCGGTTTCCTCCTTCGGCGGTGTGTGTTTCCGTTGTCAATTTGGCAGGTTGTTGACAAGCCACGGTCGGTTAAATCAGGCAGGATCTGAATGAAAGGCTTGCTGGAGCTTTTGTCCTCCTCGGCCTTTGTAGGGCTCCGCCAAAGCCGTCGCTCGGGCTGGCGGCTGCCTCTCCCTCCGCTCCCCTCCCTCTCTCCCCCCACCCGCATCTCCGGCCCTGGCTCAGCCATCCAAGAGCAAAGTGGAGCAGGGGGCCTGGAGCGCGCCTTCGCCTCCCCTTCCCGCGCGCCCTGGGAGAGGATCTCTGGCAAAGGGAGACCAAATGGACAGTGGTGGGAAGGGTAGCCGTCTCTGCAGTCCGCACAAGAGCCCTTCTCCCTGTTTGCCTGAGGTGATCCAATCCAACCTCTCCCCACCCTAGCCTGCTCTCAGTTATGACTCGGGTGGGAATAGGAAGTGCGTCAAGGTCAAGGTAAAGGGACCCCTGACCATTAGGTTCAGTCGTGGCCGACTCTGGGGTTGCGGCGCACATTTCGCTTTATTGGCCAGGGAGCCTGCGTACAGCTTCAGGGTCATGTGGCATGACTAAGCCGCTTCTGGCGAACCAGAGCAGCGCGACTAAGCTGCTTCTGGCGAACCAGAGCAGCGCACGGAAACGCCGTTTACCTTCCTGCCAGAGCAGTACCTATTTATCTACTTGCACTTTGAGGTGCTTTTGAACTGCTAGGTTGGCAGGAGCAGGGACCGAGCAACGGGAGCTCACCCCATCACAGGGATTCAAACCGCCAACCTTCTGATTGGCAAGCCCTAGGCTCTGTGGTTTAACCCACAGCGCCACCGGCATCCCTTGAGGTGCGTCAAACTACAGCTCTATATACTTGGAAGTGATGGAGGCTTGTTCCCCAGAAAGTGAGTTGAGGACTGCAGCCTTAGGTGATTTGATTTGGTTTTGCAGATTACCTGCGATGCTTCCAGTTCCAGCTCAATTCTTCATTGAAGCTTCTTGACATCCTCATGAAGCTTCATAAACATCCCATCCCCTCATCCCCTGTCTCAATTTGCCCCCAAAAAGTGGGGTGGGCAAGGACACCAACAAGATTCTTCAGTTATTTAAGGCCTTTGCTCATCTTCAGTTGTTCCACAATACAGTGGTACCTCAGGTTAAGTACTTAATTCGTTCCGGAGGTCCGTACTTGACCTGAAACTGTTCTTAACCTGAAGCACCACTTTAGCTAATAGGGCCTCCTGCTGCTGCCACGTCGCCGGAGCACGATTTCTGCTCTCCATCCTGAAGCAAAGTGCTTAACCTGAAGCACTATTTCTGGGTTAACAGAGTCTGTAACCTGAAGCGTATGTAACCTGAAGCGTATGTAACCCGAGGTACCACTGTAGTTCATTTCCACTAAAGCCAAGGAGATTGAGGCCCGTATCTTGTAAACACATTTACAGAGAGTGATGGTAGCACTGAGTTTGAGCTCTGTGATAAATCAATGGAGGATCCAGTTATCAATGGCTACTAGCCATCATGGATGTATTTTATGCCTCTAAACACGAGATACTGAGAATCATAAGCGGGGAGAGCACTGTTGCACTCTCGCCCTGCTTGTGGACTTCCTGTAGACATCTGGTTGGCCACTGTGAGAACAGGATGTTGGGCTAGATGGGCCTTTGGCCTGATCCAGCAAGACTCTTGTATGTTTATGTTCTGCAAAGTACCTGGATGAAGAGCACGATCCTATCTGTACTCAGAAGCAAGCCCTGCTGATTTCAATTAGACCAACTCTCAGGGAAGTGTGGATAGGAACGTGGCTAAATTTTGTCTCACCCACCCACAAACTTACTTAGGCACACTACCCTTTCTCGACCTCAACCCCACCTTGCCCAGCCCAACCTTCGATAAGGAGATTTAAAAATATTGATTCACCTTATGGAACTGTTGATTTACTAAGACTTACCTGTGGCCCTCTTGGCTTTCAGCCTCTGGCAACTATATATGTAGAACAAAGGCACAATCCTGCAAAACCACATTTCCCTGTCCGCGGGGGCCATGCGTATCAGCAGGGCTTACTTCCAAGCAAACATGTTTAGGATATTTGTGCCCCTGAGAGATAAGATATACAATGGGACAATTCTGGGAAATGTGCTCCAGAGGATCAGCTGCTGTCTCTTCAATG